GGGAGAACATGTTTTGAAACTGATTGTGGTAGCAAGTGTACAATACTGCTTGATGTGTTTGAACTATGGAGTGATATGAGATCTGTAAGAGCTCCCAATACATTGGTTCGGAAAAAATCAAATAAGTGGACCATGGACATATACAGAAATATGAATGGATTTTGAGCTCTCACATAATCTTAATTCCTGATCTAAGACAAATCAGCTCTTATGATATGCCTTATTTGATTCTTGACCTCACAAAGAGATGGAAGATATGAGTGCTGTAGCAAAGTGTGGTGAAGAGATTAGATGATGTCTAAGTATCAGAAATACAGCATCTGGGCTCTTAAAACAAGCAGCCATTTAAGTGAGGCATCAGCTAAGTCTACACAGAAGAAGCACAACCAACAAGCATGATAAAAAGTGATTAGCAATAAAATCCAAAATCAGAACAGAGACTATATCCTACATAGCTTAATCAAGTTTGCAGAAGGCTGTGTATGTTATGCATGGCAATAAAAGCCCCAAATCCATGTACAGTGCCCCCACATGACCTCAATCTCCATGGCAGTCCTTATAGTCTTGCCCCAGACAGAGTTTAAAGGAATGGATTACTGCAAGTATAGTTAGGGTAAAATTAACATTGTATCATGTGTGTGTTTTTACCCATTTTAATTTGTTCTAGTTTTATGTAAATCCTGCTGTCGCTCTGTGTTTTATTCTGTTGTCGTTGCTGGGATTGTTGTTGTTTCTTTTCTTTCCTATTTTTTTACTTCAATGATTTTCTTTATATGAAACTCAGGAAAGGTTAAGTCTATAGGGACAATTACTTGATCACTAGTTACTTAGGGTTGTGACAAGTGGTTGGGGAAAATGGGCAGCTAATAATGGATACAAGAATGGAGGAAATAATAAAAAATTGTTTGAATTGATGAAGGAATGAACAACTCCCTAATATACTTCAACATTGAATTGAAAAAATTTACATTTATCTTTTTACAGTGCTAAAATATCACTAATTCTATTGAGCATCCTCAGAGAAATTACATAGAGTTTTGTGTTCATCAGATAACATACTATATGTAAAAATATAATAATTAAAAAACAAAAATAAGAGAGCCAATACTTCAAAAATTTGAAATCCAAAAAATGATTTAATACTAGTGTTAGTGTTAGGTTACCTTGGTGATAAGATAGCTGCTTTTTATCTTTCAGTCAGTTCTGACTCATAGTGACCCTATGGAGCGAATAGAATGGCCTCTTATGGTTTCCATAGCTGAAAATCTTCACACAGGAAGACTACACATGTTTCTCCCTTGGAATAACCATGAACTGAAACCGCTGACGTTTCCCTAGTAGCCTCATGCTGAATGATTGTGCTGCCATCGCCTCTAATCTGATATATTCGAAACCATCCAAACCAAGTGGATTCCGACCAGAGAGACCATATCTTGGCCATAAGTTGATGACAGTAGCTTTCGGTGTTTTAGGATACATCAGATCAGATGGTAGGATGGCATTTCTTTTTCGAGGAAAATTTGTAAATGGGCAGAAATATATGGGAAAATATTAGACACCAGGAAAAAGATTAAAAAACTGTTTCATAGTCTAAGCTAGAAGCCTATATTCCACATGGATGACTGAGATTAAATTTCTTAGCTGTGGTTTTTAATTTCCAAGTCACTATTCTTTTTATGTGGGGGTGGGTTGGTAGAGTTGCTCTTTTATATTCACGGATTTCATTTTCAGATTCTATTCCATGGATATTTGTAATATATATTCTATTTTGCATAAACAAAGATGATTGATAGGTAGAGAAACAAAATAAGCATGTGCTGCCTTATTTAACTTGCTAATTAATTATAGCTCTTGCATGAGGAGTTGGCAAAGGAAAAGAGAATTGAAACATTTGAACTATAGTGATAGGAAAGCATGTTCAATATACCAAGGCTGCCAAGAGAATAAATAAATCAGTCTTGGAAGACAAGCAACTAGGATGTCACTTAGAATTTAGGATGGCAAGAACTTGGACCTGCTTACTTTGGGCCCTTCATCTGAAAAGTTTAATTATTAAGAACAATCCGTGGGAAAGCACATCTTGTTACTATGGTTGGTATTATGTGATTAGTCTGTCAGTGCTTCACCCACTGCACCTTTCATACACAGAGGGGGAAAAAATCAAATTCACTGCCATCTATTCTATGTCAAGTCATAGCAATCCTAGAGGATGGGGTAGAACTGCCCCTGTGACTGTCTGAGAGAGCCCGGACTTCTCCCACAGGGCAACTACTGCCTTCCAGCAATGCTGGTGTTGGGGGTGGCAGGGCACCTTGCAACCACTATGCCACTAGGGTGCCTTTGAACTCAGATAGTTAGAAATAAAGGGCAATAATATATAAACAAAGCATTTCAATATTTTGAACACTGTAATGTACACTATTTAATGCTTTTAAGGATCCAGCTAGAGAGTAAGCAATCAGAAAACAGACAGATTCTCTGCTATTGAATATATTTTTGACTCATAGCTACTTCTAGGAACAGAGAACAACTACCCCAGTAGGTTTTCAGGGCTGTAAATATTTAACAAAGCAGAAGCCTCATTGTTTCCTCAAGGATAAGCTAATGGTGGGTTCAAACTGCTGACCTTGTGGTTAGCAGTCCAATGCAAAACCCACTTACACCAGGGATCCTTAGAGAGTTCAAAAAAGGCTTTTAAGGCCAACAAACATATGAGAAAATGTTCCCGATCTTTAGCTATAAGAGAAATGCAAATTAAAACAACAATGAGGTACCACCTAA